GCAAAAATGAACTGAAATGATACATAATAAAACCAAACGATACGTAACGCAACAAGATGCAATTAATAATAATAATAAAACATCCCAACCCAAACCAAAACAATGAAATGGCACCAAGAGTGAGCCGCGACGCACGAGAAGAGCCGTCCCCAACGACCGCTCGTACAAATGGAAGCAAAGAAGCACCAACCCAGCAGCAACAACCGCCGGTGAAGAGATGGGTGATGGGATTCCCGGTACCCATAAAGGAGCGATGTGCCCGCACGGAGAGACGAGGGGGCGGGCAGCTGGGGGGCACCGCGCCGCGGTGGGGGCCGCGTATCCCTGCTTGCGATATTGTGGAGGCATGGCAGTGTCCCACACTCCAGGCAGGTAAAAAGCCGAGATGACAGCGCGGTGCCCATCAACTCGCGCCCATCCCACCCCCGTGCCTCAGGGCGAGAGGAGGAGAATGACACCCGAGGAGCTGCTCTGAGGATGAGAGCTCGGAGACCCCCGGTATCGGGGGGTCAGGCGAGGGATGAGCGGGCTCAGAGCCTGCCCCCGGCCCAGGGGCGGCCTGCACATAGCATACACCTCCCCCAATTCCACCACCGCAATAATTACGATAATAATAATCATATATACATATATTTAAAAGCAAATGCTTGAACAACGGATGCGTTCTCTAGATGATCCTTACGGGTCCCTCCCAAGGCGGGATATTCAATGATTCTCCCGTAAGAGGTCGCCCCGCAGTGCCCCCCACCGTTCCCCGCCGACCCCCCCGTAGCGCAGTGGTCGTTGCCTCCTCTCGGGGCCTCTCCGTCCCGGGCACCTTCTGCCGAGCTCCCCTTCCATGCCCTCCCTCCGTCACCTTCCCCAGCGCCGGGATTTCGGGCCGCTGCACAAACCCACAGAGAAAGAAAGGATTTTATTGCGCGAATGAAATCCTTTCTCGGTTGAATCAAATGAGGGCAAATGAGATAAAATCCACCTCCAAACGAAAAACGCGAGGGAAACGAAAGATAGCGTCCAAATATCGCCTTCCCCTTTGCTTACTCTGCACTACAGAAAATGGCCTTCGGGAGAGCTCAGCACCGTCACAATGGTACGAGCGGAGGGCTTTGCAGAGCATCTTCCAGAGGTCAACATTTCAGCGCAGTGTTTTATTTTGTTTTGATTTGATTTTTCCTTCTATCGATGAGGAAATGCTCAACGCAATTTCTCGTTCTCCCCCTCTCTTTTTTCTCCTGCTTTATTTTATATATTTATATATTTTGTATTATTATTATTATTATTATTTCTGCCGGTACCCACAGAATGCCGCAGACTCTGTGTGACCGAAATAGCACCTCGGAGTATTTCCCATTGGAGCAGAATTCCTTTGCAGGAAAATGTTTCCAAGGGTCCTTAGCAGCGCCCGGCCGGGCGGTAAGGGACGGTGACACCGCATCCGTCCTCCCACTGCAGCCCTGCTTTGCACCGCTCTCGGGACATACATATTCAACACATACGCCATGTATATCCCTTAAAAATTGCCCGTGCAGGACCAGCGTGGCCCTTCCCCTGGTTGCTGCCACTCGACAAGCACTTCCAGCAAAGAAATGCTGAATTAAGCGAACCCGACAGCAAACCAACACAAAAGCGGCAGCGACAGAGAGCGAAATACTAAAAGAACGAGCTCACAAAACCACACACGGGAGCGGAGGGAAACCGGTCCTATTTTAAGTCACTCGACATATATAGAATTATTATTTTTTTCTCCTGTTTTTAGACCCACTCGTATTTTAGAGCGGCTCTCCTAGCACAACACTCAGCGCTGGGGCAGTGGGATCCCGCGATATTGCTCAAGCCCCGCATTCAAGTCGGTTTTGTTTTTTGTTTGATCTTTTGATTTGATCTGATTTGATTTGATCTTATTTGATCTTATTTTCTTTTCACTTCACTCTTCCGTTTCACTTCGCTATTCCATTCCATTCGTCCTATCGAGGCAGCCGCTGGCTTCTCTTTGCTCCGAGGCTGCCCCGTGAACGGGGACGTCTGCGAGTCCCTCAGCGGGAGCCCTGCGGCTGTCCGCCTCCTTTTCTAACCAAAATGACACCAAGAAAAAACCACCCCCAAAAAGCCCACAATCAAAAAATAATAGCACCAAACTTTCATCCCGATCTCCCGCAAGCCATTTGGTGCCCCTTTCTATTTCTCCGTCCCTCGGGGGAGGGGGGGGGGGATTTCTCAGCACTTGGAGTCCCCAAATTGTCGACTGCGGAGTTTATGTGTGTGTGTGGGGGGGGGGGGGGGGGGGGGGGGGGGGATCCAAAAAGAGAACGCGGTCGTTTGTGGGGACAGGAGGAGAAAGGGAAAAAAATAATAATAAAGCGAACGTGGAACGAACATGCACAGATTTAGGAAAACGACCGAGCAAAGTGATTCCTTCCTGTGGACCCATGGCGCATAGGATTGAGGAATGGCAAAAACGCCGTCCGAAGGGATGGGAATGGGATGAGGATAGAGAACGGAAACGGGATGGGATGGGATAAGAATGGGGATGAGATGGGATGGGGATGGAATGGAAATGGGATGAGATGGGATGGGATGGGGATGGGGACAGGAACGGGGATGGGAAATGGGAATGTGAAGGGGAATGGGAATGGGATGGGATAGGATGGGATGGATGGGATGGGATGGGATGGGGATGGGATGGGATGAGGATGGGATGGGATGGGATAAGGATGGGATGGAGCAGGCAGGGTCCGCTCCGCAGCTCGGCGCAGGGCAGCCCCCGCCGCACACATCGCCCGGGGCTCGGGGCACAGCGGGGATTTGGCGGTCCACTTACCTATCTGTACAGCGAGGATCAGAGAAATGTATCTGCCGTTCAACTTAAGTCCCATCCTACATTTAGTAAAACCATTTGCGACTGCAGATCTTTAAATAGTTACTTTGGAGAACGTGGGGGAAAGCTGAAAAATAGGCATTGCCAACAAGTTCCGAGCAGCGGAGGACTTTGCACACAAGGGGGGAGACGGAGGTGAGGGAGAGAAAGAGGGAGAAACAGGGAGCGGGCGAGGAGGAATAGCTGGGAATGGTTCGCTCCATTAGGAGGGGGCGGAGGAAGTACAGCCTCACGCCCACGGCCGGCCCTGACGTGGGGGGATGACACTGACGGATTTTTTTTTATTTATTTTATTTTTTTTCCCTCCTCCTTTTTAATATATATATATAATTTTTTTTTTTTCGTGTGCCCCTTGCAAGAGAAACGCCATTTATAGGCATCGCGGGCTGCGCGCACCCGGCTCCCCGCGTCCCTCCGCCCCGTTCATCGCCGAGGAAGCTCCGCGTCGCCGGGACCCCCCCGCCCCGTGCTTCCCTCGGCCCCCCGGGGGTCCCGTGGGGCGGCGACGAAGGAGGGGGGAGCAGCCGGGACCGTCCCCACGGGGCGGGAGGGACGGGGGGGGGGGGGGGGGGGGAGGGGGGGGACACGCACAGAGGGACGCGCAGACACAGGGACGCGCAGGCGGAGGAGCCGCCTCCCGGGGTGGGGATAGCACGGGAGAACACCTCCGCCCACACACGCACCCGCCCCCGGGCCGCCCCGTCGGGGCTGGACGGCCCGGCCCCCGCGCTGCGGAAAGAGGGGGGAAGGAGGAGGAAAAAGGGGGGGTTGCGGGGTCCCCTTCCCCCGCCCTCCCCTCCCTTCCCCCACCATGACGTCATCCCCAAGGCTGGGGGGAACGAGGGGGGGGGGTTGGTGGTGGTGGTGGCCGGTCTCTCCCGGCCCTGCTGCTCCAAGCCCCGCTGTGGGACCGTAGAAGATGAGGTGGGGAACCCGCAGCAGCCGCACGCTCCCTTTTCTGGGGGGGAATTCCTGCCCCGCTCCGCGATGGCGCTGGCACTGGGGACTGAAGTCAGAGGCCCCATCTCTAGGCCTCGAGGTGCCCCTCACCACCCGTCGGGAGCAGAAAGGGGTCGGATGTGGGGTGGCCCTGGGGGTGAGGTAACCAACCCGAACCCATTCTGCACCCATAGCTCTTCCGTCACTAAGCTACCCCTCTCCAGTTCTGCCCTGACCTTCCCCAGCCTCCTGCACAACTTCAGGAGCTGAAGCGGCCGCTTGGAGGGAACACCTCCCTGTCCCTGCTCCCACGAGAGGTGGGCAGTCTGGCTGAGAGCTGCCCTTGATCTCAGCTCTTTGTTGTGTGGTAGTGGCTGCTTGTATAATGCGGCAGAGGCTGAAGTGGGTATCAAGAGATGGAGCGTTTTCCCTGGAGAGATTGGTCTGATAACCTCAAAGATCTTTTATTTCCCACACTCGGTGCTTTATCAGCATCAAAGAGCAGAGTGGGAATGCTGTGCAGGTTGAGGGGCGCCAAACAGGTGCTGACCCTCCCAGCTTCTGGTAGCTTGGCCACTTACGGCTGTGTTTGCTGTTGGAGGGACAAGGACAATACAAGGTGTGGGGGCTGCAGCAGGAGGAAATTCTTGCTTCGCTCCTCTGCTCTGCTGATAACGGTGTTGTTCATTTCCATATTCATATCTGCTATGTCTTTTTCTGCTCCTTTTTCTGAGGACAGAAATGCTATAGCTTCAGGTTGCAGGTTTGAACTGACTCCAAGGAGCTTGCATTGAACATGGCTTGGACATTACGCGACCTAAGTCGTGAACTTCTTAGGCCAGTTTACAATCATAGAATTATAGAATCATAAGGTTGGAAAATAACCTCTAAGGTCCAACCACTAAGTCCAACCACCAACTCATCCCATCCATGCCCACTAGCCACGTCCCCCAGTGACACATCTACACAGTTCTTGAACACCTCCAGTGACAGTAACTCCACCAGCTCCCTGGGCAACCTGTTCCAGTGTCTCACTACTTCTTTCTGAGAAGACATGTTTCCTAATAGGCAACCTGAACCTTCCCTGGCACAACTTAAGCCCGCTACCTCTCATACTATTGCCAGTTACTGGGAGAAGAAGCTGACCTCCACCCCACCACAATCTTCTTTCAGGGAGTTGTGGAGAGTGATAAAGACTATCTTCCCTGAGCGTCCTCCAGACTACACAATTCAGTTCCCTCAGCCACTCCCCATACAATTTTTGCCCTAGACCCTTCACCAGCCTCATTGCCCTTCTCTGGACACAATGCTCAGCCAGGAAGAGATGAATGTGGCTCACGTGGCCCTTGCTGTATCCATCACTGCCAACAGGACTGGAGCCCCTGGCAATCTAGACAATATGCCTATCTGTATGGGCTTGCTCTGGTTTCCTCACGCCAGTTCCACTCTGCTAGAACCACCTGCCCCATGGGGACCCTGTGTGCCACAGATATGTTTCTCATGTGGTTTGCCATGGCTGAGCCTCCACAGAGGCAGCTGGCTCGACATCGCAAAGGATGAGCAAAGAGATCTGCTTTCCCATGTGAAGCCAGCTGCATTGCTGCATTTCTCTTCCCTTCATCCCCTTTTCTATGCAATACGTCCCTTCAAACAGAGCTCGCGCCGTGGGTTCTTTAGTGTGTGGTTGCAGGCTAGTAATAGAGATAAAAGCTGAATCTCTGATGCCATCAGTCTGCACACTGCTTTATGCTGAGCACCGACTCAGGCTGGGGGAGGGCTCGGTGCTCACAGTGAGGTTTGAAAGTCCCTCCTCTGGGTGTGCCATATCCTGCAGCAGCATCGCCTCTACTGGGAGGTGATGCTTTGCTTTACTCTCCCCCCAGATCAACCCAGTGAGAGCTGGTCTCGGTGGAGGAGATGATCTCAGTGTAATTTCTCAGCTTTTAGAGGGACAGAGGGACAGTGCTGTGGTCCTTGCCATTCTTCATCTGATGAGTTTCCTAGAGAAAAGTGTCCAGCCAGAAAATGCAATCAAATCCCAAACCTAGCTGATAGATGGATAGCTGTACACAGCGTGATCCTCTAAGACTTTCTGTAAGAAGGAAAATAATGAGAACACACTGAAAATGTGACAGGTGGGATTAAAGGAATACCTTCTGGCAATGGCCAGCCTTCTGGAGCTCTTCTGGGAGGGTCTTTTTGTTAGGGACCTGGTTTGTTACTGTCTGGATCGGTCTGGCATTCACTAAATGGGATGGACACATGTTATGCAACTGAGACCAGAATTTGCCCCACATCTGCTTATAAATTAGCATTAAAATACTGTTCACAGTTCACCACAGAAGAGTGGCTTGATGTCTGCGACAATATATTTCTGAAAGTATAAACTGTGGCTGTGGTCCAAAATATAGAACTGGGGAATAAAAAAAGCATAGAGTTGAGTGGGTGTGAAAGGAATGCAATTGCTGGGTACCAAATCTTTAAAAATGCTACTTAAAGGTATTTGTAAACTATCTGGAACAGAAAAGGGGTGATTTGATGTAAGCTTAAAAAGTGGTTGGAATAAAGCTCTCTTCCATCTCTGCTCCCGGGATGTCCAGAGAGGAGAACAAGGCTGCAGCCTCTGCTACGCCTTCAGAAGAGCTCAGCCTCCATGTTTACTTTGCAGTACATTTCCCTTCTGAAAAATAGCGTTAAAAAACACGATATGTCACTTGACCATGACCAGTTTGTGGTCAGCCAATCTGATAAGGAAAGCACTATCTGCTCCAGAAATAGCAGTGTCTGCATACAAGCGCGCTCGTCAGAGATACGTTTTTAGGAGGGCACCCAAAATTCTGCATCTTGCAGGCACGACCCCTGCGTGCTGGGCTGTGGCACGGCACTGCTGTGGGCCCGACAGGCTGCGGAGGGCTGCGTGAGCCTGCATGCTCCATCCAGATGGAGTGCACACCCACTACAATTATGTTGGGGACACGTGATTTGCTTAAGGTGCCTGTGGATGTTTCAAAGAGTAGGATGGCTCTGGTAAAGCAGTCTTAAAAGGAAGGAGCATCAATCCGTCGCATCTTTGCAGCTAACATTTTCCTTCAAGAAGCGAAAATCTTCCTGACAAGGCCAGTCAGTGCACTTCTTATCATAGGCTGGAGGGAGGAAGTAGGCAGGCCTGGAAAATGGCTGCAAACAGGCTGATATCCTTAGATTTCCTGGCATCCAAGGTTGGGGCTGTGGTGAAATCCAGACTGCAAAAGAAACTGGCAGGTTTGTGATGAGCTGTATTTATTATGCCAGAGCTGCTGATTGCTCTCTGACATCTGGATACGAGTCACCAGGGAATAACCTTGATGCACTCCCATGACATTAAGATAATTTATGTTTGATTGGATGTGCTGGTATCCCAGCTCTGGGTCTTGGTTCATAGCCAAGCACTGAACCTGGAATGGCAACGCCTATACCAGAACCCACACGCTGCTTACACAGGGCCTTTATCCTTAGTGTGTATCAATAGCTAGCCCCAAGGATGAGGATGCACTGAGGATGTTCCTCAGTGGGGTGATACTCTGATCCACGTTTCTTGCATTGATTTATGGAGTATCTATTGCCACAGGAGCAATTAACCTTCAGTTACAGGAGGACTTCGATAAACGAAAGATCACTCTGTGTTTTCTTTATAACAGTCGATATGATTCTTTCTAGAAAAATAATAATAAAAAAAAAAAAAACAACCATAAATACATATTTAGAGAACAAGTCGGATCAGATTTCCAGCTGATGTGGGAAGATACTTCTTCTGCATTTCCAGTATCTCCTCTTCAGTCTCTAATCATCAAAACTGAAGTTTCTGGGAAACCGGGGGGGAGGACGGGACTGATTAGGTAGGGGGAAAATAATTATGGGCTGGTGAAAATATTGGCAGGACAGATGCCTGCTAGTCACACACATAGCAAGAACTCCAGGTGAGATCTCACTTTCCTAGGAATGATGAAATCTGGGAAGAAGGAAGTACACAAAGGTGAAAAGGACTCTGGGACAAGGAGAAGCACGATGAGTCTGTAGCTGCATCCAATCTGATCTGCAGAGATGCAGCTCATATGCAACTTCCTCGTTGCCCTCCTTCTCCATTGTTATCTTTGGGAACATACTTATCACACTGGAAACTGAGGAAGGTTGGAGCTGTTGCATGAATCTCAGTGGAAAGTTTCTTCTGGCAACTAAATTCACACAGGCATGAGGTGAGCACAAGGTTACTGAAAAT